CAAAACCCCAGTCTTCTAGCTTCTCACTTTCCTGAGTTAGCAACTTACCCGGAAGAAACTTTCAAGGGCATGTACGTAGGTATCACGCTTAACCGTGGGCAGGGTTTGAACTCGTTAATACCTACTTGGACAGGGAACATTGCCCTAGGATTTCAGCGTTCTAGCTTCTCAGATCCCCGAGTTAAGAATTTGCTCGAAAAAAATTTAGCGGGCCCGTGAGCGGGTACCACGCTTACTGAGGGCATAGGTTTGAGTGCATTAATACTTAGTTGGGCGGGAAACATTCCTCTAGGATTTCAGTGTTCTAGCTTCTCAGGTCAACTTAACCAAAAAAAATTTTGGCGGGCCTGTATGCGAGTACCACGCTGGTGTTGGCACCCATTTTGGGGATTGGGGCCGACACGTGCATGTAGAAGTTCCCGAAACTTTAGCCCCGCAGCTTTTATAGGTCCTTAAGATGAAAATGCGTGAGAGACGCACACACAGAAACACGGGCACACAGACAACTCCTCGTCAATATGCGTTTTTGCATTGCGTAGCTGCAAAAAACGCATAATAACGGAGGAATTGGGAAACCCGGCACCACTTTCGCGCTTGATTAGCCTGGCAGTCAAATTTACCCCATTTCAGCAGATCCAAACGATAAGTACGTAGGGTCGGCTCGATCGACCATACCGTTATGCGTATAAAACTGGCTGAAAGCACTAGCTACACGTGCAGGCGATTGCACTACATGCCAATTCGCTTTCCACGTGCTAGTTCCCCTGATGTTTAGTTTCCACTCTCACATTTACGTATGCTGCGCTGTCAAAAAAATTAAATTTATCACGTTTGCCCAAATTCTATCCACCCAGAATTATGGTCTGCCTGCCCAAGCACACCTCAGATTTATCCGTGCTCGATCGGTGCTGCCACTCCAATAATTTTCTTTTTTAACAACCTGCCTGACAATGACCTAAATAACAACAAAATTCAGCTTGCTCTGCGTCCGTTGTAAACTTGTATGAAGCTAAGAAACTATTATAAGCTAGCACGAGCGGGGGATGGAAGGCCAATTTCAGGCCTTTTTTTCCTGAAAGGCATGTTTTCCAGAAAGACCGAAGTTTAAGCGCCTGAAAGGCCTCAATTTCAGACCTTTCAGGCGCTTTAACTTCGCTGCCTTAGTTTCTGCATTTCTGGACTCAAAACGCCCATTTCATCTATGCATAATCTCGCCAATTATGCATAGACGAAAATTTAGCAGAAAAAAAAAATGGATTTCCGCTTAAGAGAAATTGGCGGTGATTCGGTCCTGATTTCTCTACTTTCTTCTGCGAAGGCATTCAGGAAGTAGCCCGAATGACAGCAAATGATAACAGCAACCACACGCTGGCAAAGCTGTTGGCAATAGATTCGCCATGGTAACTTTGGGGTTCATCACCGTAAACCGGGCAGCTATCCTGCTAAAGAATCTTCAACAGTTAATGCGCGTGCACGTGCAAAAGTATCGCATAAATCACCGATAAAGAATCACTTGTGATGTACTGCTCGAACTTGAAGCCCCAGTAAGCCATGAGCCGCTCCCGCTCGGACATCGTCTCCAGCTGCTGCATTTTTTGCTCGGTTGGGAACTCGCACAAAAACACCAACGATTTGTAGCGAACAGCACTTATGCGCCAGCCATCTTTGTTCTCGTACGGCGAGCATCCGATCCGTGTCAGTGTTCCACGCCAGCACACAAAGTTGGCCTCGTGACACACCTAAATACTTTATAAATGACAAAAGCTAAAAAATTTCAACAGCAAGTAACCGCTTGGTGATAAGATGCCAATGGCTTCCTCTTCTAAGGGTTGCTTACAAGCAAAATGATGGCGGGTTTGATTTCCTGGCCAAACCCGCCATCATTTTGCTTGTAAGCAACCCTCAAACGAATAAAAGAAGGTTGCCCCAACG